CCGGGCAGGGCCTCCCTGGGCCCGAGGAAGGCGGTGTGACCAGCGGCCCACACGGTTGGCCGTGGAATGGCCACGCCCCTCGTGGACAAACCGCCAGATGCTAGGAGGGGCCACCCCCACAGACTGAGCCTGGAGGCCTCGCAGGGCAGAGCAGGGCTGCGGGAGGGGCCATTGGGGTGGGGAGCCGTGTGGCCCCCCAGCCGGCCATTACACCCGGGGCCAGGGCAGCAGGCCAGGCTGCCCACTGGCAAAGAGGCTTGTGTGTTCACACACCACCTGGGGCCACTCCCACGAGCAATGGCCGAACGGAAAGTGTTACTATCTGGCTCTGGGGTGCTGGGGAGACAGGCCAGCGGGGACCTGGCACCACGGACACCCCCGGTCAGGGCACCCCCTGAGCAGCTTCAGTCGGAGATGGCCAGCCCGCTGCAGGCGCTGGCAGAGCGCACTGTGTGTGGTGGAGGCCGCCGCTCCCAGAGGACGCAGGTCCGCACTGTCCCTGCTTCGCACCCAGGACGGTGCCCTGGGCAGGCCCGGCAGCCGGAGCCTCTGGTCGGGGAGGGCACGTCTCCTCGGAGCCAGGCCACGGGGGCCAAAGCCGAGTCTCAGATCAAGCAGGCCCCGGCCAGCTCTAAGCTCCCAGAAGGTTCCAGAAGGCTCCAGCTCCTGCCTGTGCTCTATGGGGAACAGGGCCCCACTGAGGCTGCCCTTGCAGGGGAGCCTGTGTCCCTGGGGGCTAAGCCGGCCTCCACAGGGGCTCCTGGCAGTGTGGCCCCTCCCAGGAGCTGACCCCTCCGAGCCTGTCAGCCACACTGCCCCAGAGGCACCCGCAGCCTCTGGCCTGGCCGCTGTCCTTCCAGCCCTGCCCTCTGGCCCCGGAAGTGGCCCTGAAGGCGCAGCTCACCTTGGAGTGGTAGGCGGCGGAGTTCTTGGCCACAGCGCACTGCTTCTCGACCAGGAAGCAGAACCGGCGCCGCTCCTCCGTCAGCGCTGTCTTGTAGCCGTCGGAGACGTAGTTCTCCAGGTCGCCCTGCTTGCTGCTGATGGCGTCGATGTACTGGGAGGGAGAGGGGGGCCGTGAGCCGGGCGGGACGACGCCCCTCACTCCCCTGTGGGCAGCCCACAGGCCTGTGGCACCACGCAGCCGCCTGCCCTGTGCGCCTTTGCCCACGCTGACCCGTGGCCGGGGGCCCTGCCTCCAGCAAGGGGACCAGGGCAGGTGGTCCCCAGGGGGTCAGGCTCATCTCTGGGGGCCTCTTCCCAAGAGAGGGGGCACTGTTTGCCCAGATCTGGTGTCTGGCCAGCCCCCCCCTGAGGCCATGGCCCAAAGGTCCATGCCACTGCTCCGTCCTGGCTCGCTGGGCATCCCTGGGCCCGTGCGTGTGGATGTTTCCAGAACCCGTCTCAGCTCGAACGGGAGGCACTCGGGGCAGGCAAAGCCCCTTGGCAGCTCTTCTTTTTTAAAATATATTTTCATTGATTTCATAGAGAGGAAGGGAGAGGGAGACAGAAACATCCATGATGAGAGAGAACCACTGATCGGCTGCCTCCTGCACGCCCCCTACTGGGGAGCAAACTCACAACCTGGCCCTGACCAGCAATCGAACCTTGACCTCCTGGTTCATAGGTCGCTGCTCCACCACTGAGCCACACTGGCCGGGCTGGCAGCTCTGCCTCAGATGACCGAAGGCTGAGGTGAGGGCCTGGGTGTCAGTGTGTGGAGGGGATGAAACGAGGTCTCCCGTGGGAGCAGGGAGCCCAGCGGGGAGGGTGGTGGTGGGGGCCGCGCCCCTCACACTCCTGGGAAGAGGAAGCGCTTG